AATATAACTAATAAAAATATTAAAGAGAATGGGTCCAAGTACAGATCCCTGAGGTAGACTACTGGTAACAAGACCATGCTTCAAATATTCTTCACTGACTACAACCCTCTGTTGCCTGTCACTCAGCCACTGCCTTACCCATTCAACAATATTGGAATCCAAACTTAAAGATTGTAGTTTATTGATAAGTCTTCTATGTGCAACAGTGTCAAAAGCCTTACTGAAATCTAGGTAAGCAATGTCTACTGCACCACCCTGATCTATTATTTTAGTTACCCAATCAAAAAAATCAATAAGATTAGGTTGGCATGATCTCCCTGAAGTAAAGCCATGTTGTCTCTGATCTTGAAATTCATGTGATTTTAGATGTTCAACAATCCTTTCCTTTAACATGGTTTCCATTACTTTCCCCACTACTGAAGTAAGGCTTATTGGCCTATAGTTGCCTGACTCCTCCCTACTACCTTTCTTGTGAATGGGCACAATATTCTCTAACTTCCAATCTTCTGGGACTACTCCTGTTAACAATGACTGGCTAAATAAATCAGTTAATAGTTTTGCTAGTATACCACTAATCTCTTTTTATAACTTTGGGTTTATTCCATCAGGCCCCATCGAGTTATTTGTCTTTACTATCGACAGTTGAAATAGAACCTCTTCCTCTGTATACTCAAATGTAACAAATGACTCATTTGTCCTTTTTCCTAACTGAGGTCCCTTTCCTTCATTTTCATCTGTAATTACTGAACAAAAATATTAATTGAGGCAGTCAGCTAGACCTTTATCCTCTTCGATACCTTCCTTATTTTGTTTTTAATCTAACTAATCCTTGTTTTACTTTCCTTTTCTCATTTATGTGTATAAAAAATGTGTGTAAACTATTTTCTATTCTGTGTGTGATTTGGAGGCTCTTATAACTTGCTTAGCTTCTTTCTGCCCAGTCTTATAAATCTGTCTATCTTCCTCACTCTTTTTATAATTACTAACTGATAACTTTTAATTTTTTTTACTATTTTAGTCACATCTGCAGAGTACCACAGTGGTTTATTACATTTTTTGCGAATACTGACAAGCCCAATACAATTTTATGTTGCCTTCAGTAGTGCAACTTTTAAACTTGTCTTACCCTTAAGGACACAAGCCATTTTTGCATTTTTTGCTGTTTGTGTTCAAACGCAATTTGCATCTCTGTCATGTATTGCACCAACACATATTATATACCTGTAACGGACCGTTTTGCCCACAAGAGGTTAAAAACCGTTTAGGCGATATTCCCCTTTCAGATGCACAGACAGCTACTGCAATCACCAATCTCCCGAACTGGAGACACACAAATACTGGAAACAGCTGAACAGGAAAAACCATATTCAAGGTTTACACTCCTGGCAGTCAGCATACCATCCAATTCCCCCAATAACGAGACGACACTTCGTTTGAGGGTTAAGCAGAATCTGTTTACTGGCACCAAAATAACCTTCTTTTATGCAGGTTTCCCTTAGATAGGACCACCCACAGGGTTTTACAAAACAACCAATCATACACGTATATTACAGAAACACTCCCAGCAATTACAATCAAAAATCCTCCCCTCTGTCTGTGTTATAATTATGTTACACAATGGTTTAACATAATTAACACAGGCAGTAAAAATACAGTTGTTATACATATCCTGTAACTTTAAAACCATACATCCAATCTTCATAAATAACATATTTAGAATCAGGAACCTTCAAATATATACCTTCAAATCCATTCAGGGATTAAAAAGTTAGCTGGAGGTCCCTTTATGACCGACCGCAAGCACATTTTCCTGCCCAAAACAGTTCCATAGATTTGGGCTGTGCGGTCGGTCTATTTCAGGCTGAAAAAACGACTAAGTCCCATCGCTAAATGGGACTTAGTCTCTGCGGCTGCAAAATCATTGTGGGAGAAGGTAGAGCTCAGCGGTGTTCACGGGAATGTGTAGCCGATTTTAGTTCCATGAATTTGACTACACATACCGCTGACCTTGTGCGAATGAACAAAGATGGCCGCCGCCACGTGTTTGGCAAACGAACAAAGGCCACCCAGCATTGTCAATTAAGCTGCAGTTAACCGCAGCTTCTGGGAGGTAAATTGCCGACACACTCCCAATACAGGTGGTCCGCCTGTGTGGTACTTGGTTCAGTAAGCCCCATTTACTGAACCAAGTGGGAAATAGCTAGGCACAAAGGGTTTTAACCAGGTCTGGGGACGCAGGGGACACTGTCTTAAAGGGGCAGTGTCCCAAACAAGTCTGGGGACACCGTTTTAAAGGGGCAGTGTCCCAATTTTCCCTATGCCCTAAAAAGGTGCTTAAAGGGCCAGCATCAGTCCCATAAAACGTACATAAGCCCCAATATGCCCACCAACTGTCTTAAAGGGCCATACACACCCAATAAAAGTCCATACGTTTTCACAATCTCCCAGGGGCCATAGTCTAAAGGCAGCAGGCGGGCAACCAGGCTTCTCCAGTGCATAGTGGCAAGGTTGGTTCCGCCACAATACCGTTTTTTATAGGGCAATAAAGGCTTTAATTTGATGTCACATATACATAGATAAATTCTTATTAATTATAAAAAGAATGCAAAAAATGGGGAAAAAACTGTTTTGGCAATAATATGCATAATATGTTTAATGTCAAAATAAATTCATTTATGTGTCTTGATTTATAGACTACATAATATGTGTAGGATTTCAGCTTATTTTGAAAGGTACAGGACACAAAATACAAGGACTAAAATACAATTTTAATGTGCAACAATTTTAGAAGTTGGTATGTTTGTATTGTAGGTTTAGTAGCCATCACAGAAAACAAAATTCCCACAGAAAAGTAAATATTTATATAAAGTAGATTTCACAGGCTATTTACCCGAGGTTATTTTGACACTTTTAACGTAGCCATTTCACCGCCAAACTCTGCTAAATATTGGAGTAAAATTGTGTTTTTTCCTCTATTTTGGCCTATACACATATAACAAGGTTTTTGTAATGTGTATTTCGTAAAGCTGGTGTGTGCTTTTTCTGCACAGAACCCCATATTTTGTTCAGCTACATCTGCTGATTATAATGATACCCCCATTCAGGGCCAGATTAACAGCCCAGTGGGCCTGGTGCTGACAATTATGACGGGCCTAATTACAGAATCATATTGACCAAAAACACTAAAACACTCCCAAGCGTCATGTATCTGATGGAGACGGTGCTGGACAGAAAGAAAACAGCAGCTATAAGAAAACACATACTATATGCTAATCTTTCTCTAATTTATGTTTTTATCTTTCAAGTAAATCCATAACCCCTAACAGCAGTGTCCAGTCAAGCAGGAAGTCAATGGGCACGGTAAAAGGGTGGGCCACTGATGCGAATCACGTAACCTGCCAAGAGGGGCGAACATGCCCAAAAAGAGGACATGTCTGCCCAAAGAATTAGAAGGCCAGCCTGGCATGAATGCATGTCAGGCTACCTGCCAACCATGCAGCTGGCCAACTAAGGGCATAATTTGCAGACAGCACCCTGAGCTTGGCATAAATGCGTCTAATGATACGCTCGCTCAACGCCTTCTAAGGACTGTCCCCTAGCACTCGCTGGTCCACTTGTCTCCTTACCTTCTTACTAGCAGGCAGAAGCTCCTGGTATGCAGTCTGGAACAGAGAAAAGCTGTATGTAGTGAGTGTAGAAGAAAGAGAACATGCCACAGTTTTAGAGAGACCAAAGTCAGCATTACCTTAAAGGATCACTATAAGGTGAGGAACACAAACATGAATTCCTGAGCCTATAGTGTTAACACCACCAGCTAGCCCCTCTGGGCCCCTCATGCCTCCTTAAATATAGAAAAATCTTACTGTATTCAAGCCTTAAGCTGTAACTCTGCATGCTGTTAGATTCAGAAAAACAAGCAGTCTGCTGACATCATTAGAAGTGGTGGCCTGATCCAATCACAGTGCTTCCCCATAGGAGAACATCTATCCAAAAGGCCAAAGATTATTTTTAGAAAAAAACAAAAGCTTAAGAACCTATTAGCACCAAGCTATGCCTTAAAATGGATTTAAAAACACTAAAAAAGGGCCAAAAGGCTTTAGAGGTTGTAAAAGTTGCAAAGCTTGTTCACAAGTAAATACGGACAAAGTTACATCATACAGTAGTTTTGTTACAGGAAAACAGTTTTCTATTAAATCAGAGATTGGCTGCCGCTCAGACTGCGTGGTGTATCTACTTCAGTGTCCATGCGGCAGCCAATATGTTGGCCGTACAAAGAGATGTTTAAAAGTGAGACTTTTGGAACATATTAATAACATAAAGAAAAAACTGGATACCCATTCAGTTCCTCTCCATTGTAATAGTTGTCCATTTTTCTGTCTAAAGGGTTTGCGTTGTATAGGGATAGAGCAAATTCAACCTCATTGGAGAGGGGGTAATAAAGAAAAACGATTGGCACAAAGGGAATCATATTGGATTCACAGATTACGCACCCTTACCCCAAGGGGGTTAAATGTGGATATGGATATTGTCTGTTTTTTGAATTAATTGAATGATAAGATATCACTATTTGGAAGGGAGAAATGGAGAAAAAAAAAAAAATTATCACTTTATTAGAGAGTGAAGGAATATGGAGTGTATAATCACTTATGCCACTTTATACAATATGGATATATAATTGAATATATGAATAAATATTCATGTCACTTTACACATTATGGATCTGTAATTTAGATATAGTTGTTTAATTCATTCTAATGGTTTAGTTGTTATATTAACATATCACTATATCACTGTTAATATATGAAGTTATTAATAATCAAATATCTTTTCTGTACAAGCTATAATAGATATTATGAATGATCAACTTAGATAGGGAGTTGTTTTTCATTCATTTTAATTATGTTTTGAGTTAGCTATTTGTTAGAGGACATTTTATTGTTGCCATGATTTTTATAAGACTATAATATGATCTCTAATAGTCTTTTATTTCTAGTTATTCGCATATCACCACCAGGTATAAGAAAATTGACTTTTCAGTCTATTATGCTATGGAACGCACGGCCATGTTTTTCTTCCGAGCGTGGAACGCATAAAGGTCATGTGACGAACATTTTACCACGTGACGCACGCGCAACGTATGACGTACGCGGAAGTGGCTAAATGTGTTGAACGGACCCGGCATTTCATTCCGGTAAAGCGGCTACACCTGGGGAGAGAAAATTTAGACGAATTAGAATTGGAAGATAAGAAGACACCCACTATTCCACCAATGACTTGAAGGGATTAGCCCTATATAAGATCTTTTGATTGTTAGCGTTTTAGGATGCTGTTTACTCTGTGTATTTGTCAATTGATATTTTATTGAAATAGATGGTCCCTGAGGAAGTCCTTTTTGTATAAGGACGAAACGCGTAGGACCAGCATCTAATTTTTATATTGTTTTTATGTTTTATTTGCACACCTTCTTAATTTTTGTAAGTGAATAAATTGCCTTTGAAGTATTCCTGTGGTTGCTGTTTGTGGACCGTTTTGCTGACCTGGATACCCCATTGGCTATCACTTGAGGAGGAGAAATCAATAGGAGTTAACCCCCCTATTTCCATCGAGGGGAGGCACCCATAATACGCTTATCTTTTTGGAATATGTGAGTGCATTTCAATCATTGGAAGTTTTATAATATTTAGCAATATTTGCACTATGTTTTGTTCTCTATTATAGGTATACTAGCAGTATCCCAAAATATCCTATCAATTACACACTTCCCCATAGGAGACTGACAAAGAGGCAGATCAGGGGCAGAGCCAGCATGATTCAAACACAGCTCTGGCCAATCAGCATCTCCTCATAGAGATGAATTGAATCAATGAATCTCTATGAGGAAAGTTCAGTGT